GTTGTTTCTCTAAGTATCTACTCTTGGGAGTACTGTATTGTATAGCAAAAAACAGCTAGAACAGTTCATATGGGTGTTATGTCCAAGATCAGGCATGAAAGTACACGCAAAATTCAAATCCAGTGAAGGGTGTATGATTGTGTACATAAAATCATGACCAAATACAGGTTGTTTCAGTTTAATACTAGGAACTTCAGTCAAGGAATTCACTGTATTAAAAGGTCAAGGAGAAAAAGATAATTTTATTTAAATAAATGTAAAGAAAGCATCTGACATGTCAAAGTACATTCACTATAAACTCTTAAATAAATCGGAATATCAAGGTTTTTAAAAATCCAGTGAAGACCAGAAGATATCATTCTTTTTCACATGGGAAATACTAGTTCACTAGTATTTTTTTGTTCATTTAGTTTATTGGTAAAATTTAGGTGTACATATGGATTATGATCATAGTCATCTTAGGGAATTTGTACCTGTACATTATATGTCTTAGTTCTTATTTTTCCCATTGCCCTTCCCTCCCTTCCACCCCTCCACTCCTCCCAATTTACAGAAACTTTGTTATTCTTTTTTTTTGTACCAGGGATCGAACTAGGGTCCTTGTACTTGCGAAGCAGGCGGTGAAACCACTGAGCTAAATCCCCGGCCCCAGCAACTTTGTTATTCTTAATGTTTAAATGTATTAAAATTTCATTTAAAGTCAGGAAAGATTTTTTATCGTTAATATTTCTATTTAACAGTTGTCCTGGAGATACTATAAACATGACAACACATGAAAAATAAATGAAAGCCATTAAAATACTATTTATAATGGTCACAGAAATAGGTGCAGAATAACAAATCTAACAGAAAATAGTTGAAATTATATGACAGTAATTTAAAATTTTATTTCAAGGTATTAAAGAAGATTCATTCAAATGAAAAGACAACAATTCACAGATAGAAATAATATCATAAAGGATTGTATTTCCCTCAATTAATCCTTAGAATTATTGAAATTTTAATACAATTTCAATAGTAGATTTAGTGAAACTCAACAAGCCAGTTCTAAAATTTTATGCGAAATGGCAAAACTTGAAAAATAAACAAGATATCCTTGAACAAGAAAAATAAGGTAGGAAGGATTACTTGCCAAGTAAGATATCATGATATATTATGAGGCTTTCAGTAGTTATTATTCTTAATGTCTGTGAAAGGATAGGCAAATTGATCAAGGAACCTGAATAGATAGCCCTTCAAAATATATAAAAACATATTTATAATATCCACAATATTCAAGGAGTGCTAAATGAAGTGGAGACATTTCAGTAACAGCTGTGAACTAAGTAAGACGTATCATCTACATGTAAATGAAAAGCCATTTATTACTTTAAAAAATCATTCAGGAGGAACAGTACATTCTAGATTTGGTTCTGAAGGGCACAAAATTCATAATGACAACCGGTATGCTATCTGCACCTAAACTGATCGCATCACTGTGTCATGTGCCAGTGAACATTCTGTTCTATTGCCTGACCAGTCCCTAACCATCTTTTAGTCTGTTTTAGATACTGAGACGTCCTATACTAATGAAGGGTCTCTGGCCTAGTTTCAAGTTAGGTTCCTCAGTCTCTTCACTCTACTATCTTCGTGGGGAAGATAAATTACAAATGTATTTTTCAATTTTAGTCACATTAATACAGTTTATGTTTTCCTCATCACATTGAATTCTTTGAAGATAAGTAGATAGGCACTGCCTTTTGTGGACCCAATGAGTGCTGTTATTCTCTGCCAGGTATTAGATACAGAAATGAGTGTATATGGAGAATATGCTGGATTCACATTAAGGATTGAGGAAAAAAAGACAAGAGAAAAGGAGAGAAATGCAGTAAATCTTTTAAATTATTTTCTTATTTTACAGAAATAACTAATCCCTAAAGAAGTTAGGTGGTTCACTTGGCCATGTTGTGAGAGAAGAAAGCACTGAAATATAGATTTCAAGACTCCTCTTATTCCTTTGTTATTTCTCCTAAATCATATTGCTACTTGTGATGCCTTTTTTAAAATAAAACAGAAATTGACATTTCAGACTCAAGTATATAATCCAGCCATAGAACATCTCCAAGATGTCCTAATGTTTTTCTTGTTTTTGGCAAGATTTTTTTATGTATAATGTTCTCAGACTCACCATCTTCCTGCCTCAGCCTCTCAAGTAGCTGAGTTACAGGAATGTGTCTCTAGCCTGGCCTAGTGTTTCCAAAATATTAGCAGTTTTAAATTTGCTTAGATTGTTATTTAGTACCTTTTCCTTGTATGAGAATTCAGGCATGCATGCCTATGGATTGTGTGAGTAAATCTAACCCATGTGCCACAATCCAGTTTCTGTTATTCGCTTAACCCAAATATGGTCAAATTATTCTTATTTATAAGAGGAAAATATCTACATGAACTCTGCCTTAGACAAGTAGCATTATTTTTCTTAAAAAGCTCAAGCTTATTTAAAAATCAGAATTGAGCATTTAAAAACTTTAATTGTATGATTGTCTATAATTATATTATGTCAAAGCCTATCCCTAAGATTTGGTTTCAACCTAGGTTATACCCAATTAGTTAAAACACTTTTATTTAGTATTTCCTTTTGTATTTTGTATAATGTTTAATAATCCACCTAATTTGACTTCATTTTCTAAAGTCTGAGGTGCTTTTTAATAAGCTTTAAATTTAGTTACTATTAGGATTCCTTTCCTCCCCTAAAAATTTGATCTCATTTTGATTACAAGAACTATGCAAAAAATAAAATAGACTACTTTTCCTGGCTCACAATTATATCTAAATTTCTATCTGTGCCATTAAACCTCCCCCAGTTAACTGAGAATAATATCAAATGACTATCATCTATCATGCATAATTCCAAAGTTTTAGATTTAGAGCAGTGAGCACTTACAAAGAATTGCGGATTTAACAACTAAACAAGTTTCTTGTAATGGAAACAAACAAACAAAAACCATTATATCAGAGTTGATTGTAAGTTACTTATCTAGGACATATTAAATTCAGATTCTAGTTCTAAGAAGTGTGAGTTAATCTCGAAAGCACAGACTTTACATTATCTCATAACAGAAGTTTAAAGGGGAACCATTGTACATACAGATAAAAGATGCTGAAAACAGCATCTAACTTCTCTTTTCTGAGTGACCAAAGATATTCTAACACGTCCTCAGACTAAGGGAGAATGATTATTTCCCTGTCTTCCCTAACCCTTCCAAAAGCAGGCATTTTGCTCATCCATTTGAAAGCCCGAAATTCTCAGTGTTACCTAAAGCCACCTTTTGGTTAACCTAACTTTATCAGTGGTAAATTGCTAGGAGAGATACATTTATTAAAATCCTCAAAAATGATGTGGTTTGAATGGCATGAATGTTAAGACATGTCTATGTGTGTTTTTATCTGTATCTTATTTTCTGTTCTCATTTGCAAATGGGGGAAGGGCTTTTCTGTGGCTGATAGCTGAGAGACGTATTTTGAAGCAGGGATGCCTGTGGTTTTGCCCAGGGCACTCTACTCCTTGTAGGGGAAGTGCCCTATGGTTCTGCCTGGGGCAGCCTTTTCCATGATCCCACTCCAAAAGGCTTGGCCATATGATAGATAACAGCCAAACTGGACCCATCACTGTTTGCAGTGACCTAGTCCGAGGGAGCAAGGAGTCTAGACTAGGGTAGCTGGTGTCTTGTTGTAGCTGTTTCAAATAGAATTTGAGAGAGAAAATGTATCTTTGTTTTGTGTTTAGGATCTATGAAAATATGTCATGTTCCTGCCATGTGAAAGAACCGAGGGTTGTGGTATCATGCAGTGATGAGTAGTTAGGATAGTTGATGAGAGAAAACAGGGACATACAAGGCTGAGAACTTTGACTCTCTATTCCTGGCTCTGTTCCCAGAGGGATTCTCATTCCTTGTTGCTCTTCCTTTGATTCTGGGGCAAACCCAGATTTCCTAGGCAGTACCCTTGGCTCTCAGATGGACTTTTTAAAAATCATTCTGATTTTCTTCTTCTCCTTTCTTAAAAATAAAGCATACGCCGTTAATTTGGATTTTAATTACATATACATTCTTATGTAGACATTTGGAACTGCAAATTTCTCCAAATCCTGTGAACTTTGCTATGATAGGTTTTCTTTTTCATTCAGTTTAAAGTATTTTCTAATTTCCCTAGCATTTTTTGTTTTGTTCCTTGGATTGTTCAGAATTGTGTTGCATTATTTTTTACGTATTTGATGATTTCTGTATGTTTTTCTCTATTTGACCTCTAATTTAATTCCATGATTGTCAGAGAACATTCTCTCATTTCTATCTTTTAAATTTTATTGAAAGTAGCCCAAGGCCTATCATTTTGAATAGTTTATATACAGCTTTCTGTTTTCTTTAGATGAAATGTTCTAATAATGTCAGTTAGGTCTTTGATTGATGGCACTGGTCAGTTCTCTATGTCTCTGCTTATTTTTTGTCTAGTCATTTTGTCAGTTACTGAAATAGTAATACTGAAGTTGTACTCAAATGGATTTATGTTTTTTGGATAATATTATTAGCCATTTATTCTTATAGAAAAACAACAATACATAGAGGCTGTTAAAGTAGGCACTTCTTAAGATAGTTGTGTACAGTATTTATGTCTTACCTGATGACAGATGAACAGTGGTATGCTAGAGTGTTTCATCCTTGCTTGGTAAAATTTTGGAGGGGTCAAGCTGACAAAGTGTTCTGCTAATAGCTTCTGCCTAAAAGTTTTTTGCTTCTAGTGAGGGACTCTTGGAAGTCGGACAAAGTGTGAAAGGCTGGGTGGTCTGGGTAGTTGGCTTGATTTTCCAGGCAGCAGTACGTCTGGTCTAGACTATTGTCCTGAGATGAGACCACCCAGGAATGCACAGAAGTGAGTGACTTTGAACCACACAACTAAATTAGTGTTACCCCAAAATGTATTCACAAAAATACAGAGTTGTTATTTTTTCAAAGCTTCTCTCTTTATTAGCACATTTATAAACACAATCTTAAGCAGAAAATTCACAATAGTATAATCTCTTGTAGTCTGGCAATATTTCATCCAGGAGACAGGTACCTTATTTATTAGAAATAGATACAGACCAGCAGAGCAATACTCTCCTCCAGTGCTCTGAGAGGTGGAAATGTAGCCAGAGCAGTGTGTTGGAAAATGAGATGACATCATGGAGCATAGCTTTGTCTTGAATTCACATGCATGCTCTGAAGTTTTTCCTGTCATAAAAGTAAAATGCTTTAAGAATTTATTTTGAAAGCTGTTATACTTCTAAAATATGCTGTAATAGCATCAGTTTCTGGCAGTGGGTCTCATATACAGATATTTCAGCCAGGACACACACACACACACACACACACACACACACACACACACACACAAACAAACGATGTTATTTTTAAAGCAACAATCCAGCAGTTACTCATGATGTGGTCACACTCTTCCCTCTACTACATAGCAATGCTTGGATGAAAATGTTTCATTTTAATTGATCATATCAATATGAAATTTCGTACAATGAAGGTGAAGGCAAGGAACAGAGACAATAAATCATTGTTTGACAATATTTAGCAGCAATGTCCAAGTGTGACAATATTCATGTGCACATTTTAGGTAGAGTTTGGCTACATGTTGTTTGTTTAGATTAGCGTGAGTATTTAAAGAACACTGTCTGCATATTTTATTCTTAACCATCATCATAGTAGTCCTATGATTAGTTGATTTTATATTTAATAGTATATTTTCTTTTGTGTGTTCAGTTTTTATTTATACAAACTGTCTTCCATATAATATATGCTTTTACTATTGGATCTTGATAATTATTAATAAAATGAATATGTTATGTTTATATATTTGACTGGAAACAGTGGATGATCTTTCTTAATCATAAGACAAAATAAATTCCTATGATTTAACTAAAAGGCTGTCAAATAAAGAGCGCAACAAACTATTATCCTTGACTAAATGCAAGTGGTAATGTAATTTCCTTGCAGGTTGGTGAGAATATTATTGTTGAGTTATATTTTTATGTCCAGTTATAATTCATGTATGTGCCCTGTAAGTAGCTTTCCTATGAGACAAGTTGTCTCAGACCATGAAAACTTCCCATCAGGATACCATATAGACACAAGCCACCCTGCATTGACAGCCATGTCTATCTCCCCAGGGAGCTGGATGGAAACGCAGAGTCTCATTGACCAGAGTCTCTATGTTGGTCCAGAACTTAAGATCTGCATTTAAAAGCTTTGTTGGTGATTCTGTGAACACTAAAGTCTGAGGACCACTTTTCTTTAGATTATAGTGTTTCAATTTCTCAGCTATCAAAGTTGCTATAATTTGGATCTTGAATGATCCTGAAAGGCTGTGTACACGTTAAAGGTTTGGTCCCCACCTTGAAGCTACTGAGAAGTGGTGGAAACTTGAAGAAATAGGGCACAGTGGAAGTTCTTCTCCTCTTTGGGGCATGCCCTTTCCCACAGTTAATGTTGATTGTTAACTTGATTGCCTTGAGACACTGTTAGGAAATTAGTAAGCACATTTCTGGGTTTTTCTGGATGGGCAATGGGGGCATGACCGTGAGGTCTATATGTCACCCCTCATTTCTTTCTCTCAGGGTCTTTCTCTGCTCTCTGTTTCCAAGATGCTATGAGCCTGGCAACTTTCCTTTGCCATATTCTCTGCCATAGTGTTTCTGCCTTATAGCCTACTAGTCATGGACTGAAACTTCTGAAATCATGAGCAGAATAGTCCCCCCTCTTTCTTTGCTTATTTCTGTGATACTGGGAATCGAACTCGGGCCCTTGTGCTTGTGAGGCAGGAATTGGCAGAATTGCTGAGCTAACCCCCCTGCCCTCCCCCTTAAATCGCCTGTGTTAGATGTTTTCTTGCAGCAGTGGGAAAGCTAATAGACCTGTAAGTAGAGAGTGGTACCCTGAAACTTCTCTTTCTTCTCCATGTCTTGGCATGAGGAAAGTATCTTTGCTCCACCATATATTGCCTCAACCACAAACCTAAAAGGAGTAGGGGACAATGGACCATGGACTGAAACCTCTGAAACCATGAGCCAAAATAAACATTCTCTCTTTATAAGTTTATGGTTTCAGCTATTTTATTTTTTTACAGTAACTAAAAGCTAACAACATGTTTTGTACTCAACAGCGATCTTAAACTTTAAGGGTTTTCCCCTTTCCGCTCTTACCTGAACAGAAAATTATATTCCTTTAGGGAAGAGTTGCATAAATTCCTACTATTATGCTTGGAATATTTCCTATAGGAGCCTTGCATCTTCTAGTAGATAGGCTGTGAGTCAGAACTGGCTGAATTCTGGAAACTTATGGTGTGATGGTCACGCCACATTGGGACAACTGATATCAGACTTAGTTTTTTATTTTTTTAAAACAACATTTATAGTGATGTTAGTTTTGGAACTGTCATCATGATTCAGTTTTAGAGGGTTGTTATTACTTTTTTCCCTGAATTGTCTTGAGGCCATTTGATGTCAATGCCTGCTCCTACTTTCAGTCTTAGATAAACTTTGATCTGCTGTCTCTACAGATTTGTCTTCTTGAATTTTTTATATCCATGGAATCATACAATATGTACTCTTTTGCATCTGTTTTCATTCATTTGCATAATATTTTTGAGATTTGTCATTGTGTCATGCATATCAATATTTTGTTCTTTTTTATTGCTCAGTGGTCCTTCACATATAACATATTGTTTTATCCATTCACCAGCTGATTGATGTTGGATTACTTACAGTTTGTGAGTATTATGAATGATGCCACTATGAACATTCATGTATAAATTTTTATGTGGATATATTTTCATTTCTTAAGAGTGAGATTCCTAGGTCTTAAAATAAGCATATGTTTAACTTTTTAAGAAAATACCAAATATTCCAAATGGTTGCATCATTTCACATTCCCACAAACGGTGTAGAATAGGTTCATTTTTTAATCTACATCTTAACACTTAATACTATCAGTCTTTTTGATTATAGCTGTTCTAGTGGGCATATACTGGTATCTTATTGTGGTTTTAATTTTTATTTTGCTAATGATTAATGATTGTCAATGTCTTCTCATATATACATAGCCATTTTTTTGTTGTTAGTGAAATGTCTTTCAAGTTTTTCTTTTGTTTTTTTGTCTCATTATTAATTGCAGGAGTTCTTTATGCATTCTGGATTTCAGTTCTTTATCAGGTACAAGATATGCCAATAATGTTTCCTGTCCTTTGATTTGTCTTTTCATTTTTTAATGATATATTTTGAAGTACAACAGTTTTAAACTTTTGATGAATTTCAAGTGTTCAGAATTTTCTTTTACAACTTGTGATTGTGGTATTGTATCTAGGAATTCTGCTTGACCAGCCTCACAGAAATTCACTCTTTTTTTTCTATAAGATTTATCTTCCATTAATGTTTGTGGCCCATTTTTTAATTGTTTAATTAATAGTTAGCTAATCAATGTGATTAATGGTATGAGTTAAGTGTTCATACTTGTGATTATAGACAGTCAGTTTTCCTACCACTTGTACTTTTGAAGTGTTTCGGTGCCTTTGTCAAAAATAACTGTATTTACAGTGAAAGGTTCTTTCTGGATTCTCAGTTCTTATTCACTGGTCTCTGTGTCCTCTATTGTTACCAATATAATAGTGTTTCAATTAGCTTTATAGTAAGCTTTGAAATTAAATATGTGAGTCTTCCAACTTTTTTAAAAAAAATTTATGGCTATTCACTTTGTTAGCAGAATTTCAAATCATTCCAGAAGATCATATTAGGACTAGATATACAATATTTTATAAAGACATCATCTGAATAGATAAGTAAGTGTTCTTCTGTTCTAGGAATCTAACAAATGACATGGCAAATATTTCTGATTTTTAACTTGTTTTAATTTTTCCATAACATTTGAGACATTTTGAGAATTTATTAGTCTTGATGTTACTGAGAATTTCATTAAATACTTTTTATAAATCATTTATGGTTATCTTTACTTACCAGGATTTCTGTTTGCATGGAATTCCAAGAATGCAATTAGTTTACTATATTAGTATAGTCTTTGCTGATCCAGTCGTTTGACTCGTATCTAGACATTCCCCCTGCCCCCTGAAGCCATAGGTCCTCAGAAGTGGGCCTTTTTGGAGGTGGCTGGATGAAGGGTGTGTGAATATGGATTAAGGGTATGATAACTAAATTAGTCCAGATTGGTGTAGCATATTTCTGGGAGTGGACAATCGGAAGGATCAACCTGGGTTGCACCAGGAAAGAGGCGTCTAGCCTGGATGGGATAAAAGGGAAAGGGAGGCCCATTACTACTGCTTTTTTTTTTCTGCCTGCCTGTCATGGACTGTTTCTCCTGTGCAATACCCTTCTGCCATATCACCCTATTTTGGAGCCAGTTGGCTATGTACTGAAACCTTTACAAACTGTGAGCCAAAAATAAACTTTCCTCCTTTAACTTGAGATTGCCCAGTATTTCGTCTCAGCATCACAAAAAGTAACTAAGACAGGTACTTTCTGTGTTTAGCCTAGTATCACACCTTATAATTGTTATTGATTAACTGAATATATCAGTAAGGTTTGAAAATATTCCTTCAGATTGGTAATTTGGCTGAGAAAAAATTCTTTATAGACTACTTTATTCAGATTGTGTCAGACAAATACCAAAACTTTTTCTGATTGAACAATATTGGTAGATTCATCAGTCTGAAGAGAATTGTATTCTCTTTTTCCTTCTCTGAATAATTGTTCCTTTAGTTTCTGTTGATAGCTGTTCTAAAATAAACTCTTATTTGATAGAGGCAACTTATTAATCATTGTGTTTGCTTTTTTCCCAATCGTTTTACATTTATTTGCCAGTAGAAGTATATGTTCCACTAATTGCTTCATAACACCATAAAGATAGTCTCTTTAGCTTTTGTATTCTTATCACTATTACACAGCATGTAACTTTCTGGGATGCTTGAATATCCTTCCATTTTCCCTGAGGAATTTTGATGTTTCTCATAGTGCTGTTTGTGTCAGAGGACGTCAGCATTTTGAATTACCCATAATGAAAGAGGTGCACTTTCAGCTGGCAATTCAATTCCAAATTTCAAACAATTTTGATCTTTCTTGTGCAATATTTTTAATGTTGTTTAAGCTGTCATTTAAAACACTGATAGCAGTCCAGTCATTAATTAGGTATTATTACTATCACTGCTAAAGGTTATA